CTACAACCCTCTGGAACTGGTTACTGTGTTGTTTTGAATCATGTCTCTGAGGTCACACTCTATCTCTTATTCTTCCCAAGTATTCTGCCTCTCTCCAAAGCTGGCCCCATATCAATATTATGGACCTTCCTACTCTCAATTCTAGCATACATATTTAGTAAATAAGTGCTACCTTACTTTTTATTTGTAATTTCTTCTATGCCCCTTATTCTCTGTGTTCAAGAATACATTCACTCTCCTGACCTTGAAAGCTTCTGTTGCTATGCTGTGTCTCCTCCAAAATATCATCCTATTTTGCATTCTTTCACTGCAGTTTGTGTCCACACTCACTGCCTCAGTTTTCTTACCATTCATTGCCATAGATAGACAAGGAGAATGAAAGTAGGTATTAATGATTACAGGCAAAAAACAAACACAAACATATCATACTAGCTGTGACTGCCCCATAGAAGTGCCCGTAATCTGTCCCCTCAAAAAGGACAGACTTGTACAGACTTGTAGTACTATAACAAGAGTACAAGGGAGCTTCCTCATTCACGCAAGCAAAAGCTATGACAGTTAACAAGCTCTCTCAAGTAGAGAAGAGGTAAAAGATGGAAAGCAGCAGACCTTAAGAATTCCTATAATTAAGGAAGAGAAGAGAACAATGGGGTACATGTTGGAGGGACATAGAACTATAAGTCATATTCCAGTTTAGAATTCCTTGACTTTTAGGATGTTTGGTTCAAAAAAGTTTGCAGAAATACCCCGTATACCCCCAAAAAGGCCATTTACTGGCAACTCTTAAGTTAAAAACCTAGTCTTTTTGCTTTGTGGACTTGACTTTATACTCTCTGTATGTTTTTGGATGTGGCAAAGCCTCCAGGATTTCATAGCTTCTCCTTTTTTTGCCTCTGATTTTCTTTACTTTTTCCCTTCTTTCCCTTCATTAGTTTTCATTTTCTACTTCTGTTGATCCGACGAAGACAGTTAACGTTTTCTTTCTGTATCTGGAGACCTAACACACTTTCATTTTCAGTATTGTTCAGTGAATGGATGGATTTTAAAGAAGCCTCTCTATTTTAGCAGATTTTTATCTTAATTAGGATGATAAGTCTGACTTTCTTTTAGGTTACTGGGATTCTCTTGCTCTACTAAGTAGAAGATTGTGATTAAAATTTAACTAACTTGAAATAAAAACAGCATAGGATTTTCCTGCTCCGTAGTGAAAACCAAAACAGCTACTAAAGCTGATGATGAGAAAACAGCATCTCTTCAAACCTGATCATTAGAGCAGTGGTTTTCCAGCTGTCCTCCCAGGGAAGACTGTTATTTGATGAACTGACCTAAGTCGTCTTATTTAAGGGGAAAAAAGACAACTTCTCTCACTTTTAAGCTTTTCCACCTATTCATTTTTTATAAATATTGGTATCAGCTTGTTTTTTCTTGTTGAATCAGGTATTATTTAGGTATTTAGGTACCAAGTTGAGTAAGTCAATATTAGCAGGGGCTTTGCACCAGAAAACATTTTTAAACTGCTGCATTAAAACATTTTTCTTGCTAGTGGCTGGAGGGAGTGACAAATGGGGACTGCTTAGAGGTTTCTTTTTGGGGTGATGGGAATGTTTTGAAACTAGATAGAGATGATGATTGTACAAAATTGTGAATGTACTAAATGCCACTAGCTTACATACTTTAAAATGATTAATTTTATGTGAATTTTATTTTAATTAAAAAAAAAAATACTGGCCCAGGCAGGGTGGCTCAGTTAGTTGGAGCATAATCCTGAACACCAAAAGGTTATAGGTTTGATCCCCATTTGGGGCATGTACGGAATGTCTCTCTCTCTCTCTCTCTCTCTCTCTAGATAGAGATAGAGATCTATCTATCTATATTTATCTATCTATCCCTATCTCTATCTATATATCTTTCTGTCTGTCTGTCTCTCTCTACCCCCTACCCCTTCTACTCTCTCTGAAATCAATAAGCTTATTCTCAGGTAACAATTTAAAAAAATTGTATCCTAACTTTTAAGATTCCTTGCCATATCCATGAATTGCCAGATGTATGCTTGTAGCTCAGAAGATAATATCCTTCTGTAGTTAATACGGTCTTTAAATTGCAACATTTATTAAAGTGCAAATGAACACTCAGTGGTTAAATGCTGGGAGAAGTCACATTTCCTAAAGCTAACATCAGGTGCTTATATGTTCAAGCTCACTACCACTTCTTGCTATCTGTTTACATCATTAGACCCACCCAATATCATCTTAAAACTATTTTTTAAGGCTCATATAGAGAACTTGATTCTTTAAAGAAAACCAGTCTATATACAGGTGACAGACACTTTCCATAAACAGGTAAAAAGCCTATTTCAAACTTTTAAAAAGTAACAATCTGGACTTCTGGTGAAGATGGAGGCGTAGGTAAACATGCTTTACCACCTCCTGCAATCACAGAAAGAATTGCAACTAGATCTCAAAACTAATAACACCTAGAACCGTCAGAAATCGAGCTGTATGGAAGTCTAACAACCAAGGATTTAAAGAAAACACATTCATCCAGATGGATAGGAGGTACAGAGGGGCACGGAGACGTGGTATGGTGCAGAGGCAGCAGCGGTAGAATGGGCTGTCCCACATTCACAAGTAGTAGATAAAAATAGGGAGGGATATCTTGGGAGCGAGTGATCCCAGCCCCAGGCCAGACCACACAGTCCAGGGTTCTAATTCCAGGAAGATAAATCCCTATAACTTCTGGCTGTAAAAACCAGTGAGGTTTGGGGTGACAGAAGAAACTGCCAGAGTTTCAAGAGACTCCACTTAAAGGACCTACGCATGCTTAAAACATACGCAAATCTACCCACTCTGGGATTCAGCACCAGGGCAACAGCTGGAAGGGCACCAGTCACACAGAGCAAGTGCCAGGTAGACCTCCAGAAGCCAGGCAGCAGCATTGTCCCCTCTTCTAGTCCTCCCCTGGCACAGAGCTAAAAAGCAGTGAAGCAGTTTGCCCCACCCTGGCAATTACCTAAGGCTCTGCGCCACAGAATTTACAGGTGCCTTTTCTTACAATAGGCCATACTACTGAGACGGAGTCAAAGCAGCTCTTCCTAATACACTGAAACAAATACAAGGAGACTGCCAAATTGAGGACACAAAGAAATATGGCCCAAATGAAAGAACAGAACAAAACCCCAGAAAAAGAACTACAGGAAATGGAGATAGCCAACCTGTCAGATGCAGAGTTCAAAATACTGGTGATTAGAATGCTCAGAGAATTCAATTGAGTATGGCAACAAGATAGGAAAGACCCAGGAAGAAGTGAAGGTTACACTAAGTCAAGTAAAGAAAAATCCACAGGAACCAACAGTGGAGGAAATGAAGCCAGGATTCAAATCAGCGTTTTGGAACATAAGGAAGAAATAAGCATTCAACCAGAACAGCAAGAAGAAAAAAGAATTCAAAAAAATAAGGATAGCATAAGGTGCTCTGGGACAACCTTCAAACATACCAACATCCAAATCATAGGGATGCCAGAAGACAAAGAGGAAGAGCAAAGAATGTAAAACTTATTTGAAAAAATAATGAAGGAAAACTTCCATAATTTAGTGAAAAATAGACATACAAGTCCAGGAAGCACAGAGAGTCCCAAACAAGTCAGACCCAAAGAGGACCACACCAAGACACATCATAATTAAAATGCCAATATGTAAAGGATAAAGAGACAATCTTAAAAGCAGTGAGAGAAAAGAAGAGAGTTACCTACAAAGGAATTTTCATAAGACTGTCAGCTGATTTCTCAAAAGAAACTTTGCAGGCTAGAAGGAACTGACAAGAAGTATGCAAAGTGTTGAAAAATGAGGACCTACAACCTAGATAACTCTATCCAGAAAAGCTATTGTTTATAATTGAAGGATAAAATGCTTCCCAGACCAGGTAAAGCTAAAGGAATTCATCACCAAGCCATTATTACATGGAATGTTAAAGAAGATAATCAAAACTATGAACATTAAAATGGTGGCAAATTCACAACTATCAGCAGCTGAATCTTAAAAAGTAAACTAAACAAAATACCAGAACAGGACAGAATCATAGACATGGAGGTCATTTGGAGGGTTATCAGCTGGGAACAGGAAGAGGGAGAATGGGGGCAGGGGAGAGGTACAGGGAGTAAAAAGCATGATTGTTAGGTACAAAATAGACAGGGGGATGTTAGGAACAGTACAGGAAATGGAGAAACCAAAGACCTTATAAGCACAACCCATGGACATGAACCAAGTGGGTGATTGCTGGAGGCAATGGGGGTACCAGGCGGAGGTGGGCAAAGGGCGAAAAATTAGGACAACTGTAATAGCATAATCAAGAAAATACATTTTTTTAAAAAGGTAATCTTACTGAGTTAAAAACAAGATAGAATTAAGGCATTCTTATTTTTAGTAAAAACAGTGAGACTTTACAGAGGTGATTGTTAAATCCTGATTCCAGTAGCATTTGGATAGATCTTATCTGCCCTTTTCTTGTAAATAGTTGGGTAGATTGTTCTCTTACAGTTATGAGTGCATACATATGCAGACACACAAACTGTAGTCATACTCTTTTTTTTTTTTTTTTCCTGACATCATCATCCTCAGTTCCTTTAGTCAAATATTGTCAGAGTAGTTTGGGAACACTTAGTATATTTAAGGTAATGAAGAGTAGGAATCTTATTAATATGCTTATTCTCAAACTTTTGGCCAATACCTTCTTCCAGATAGCTCTAGTTCTCAGACATATTCTAATTTTAGCAGAGAGTGCCTTGGTTGCATATCACAACATTTCTGTTTGCTTTCTCTGTAGCGCATTGATTTAGTTTCAGAGGCCAGTTTATCACCTTTTTTGTTGTTGTTGTTAAACCATTGTTTTACTGTAGTATCTTATACTAATAGTTACCAGTAAAGTAGTTTTACATGTAAAGTTAAAGTAGTTTCACATATAAAGTTAAAAGTGAGCTCTAACGTACATGTCTTACCTTTTCTTTAGAACTGTCAAGTAATCCACCTCTAGCTACAATCCTTATTCCTCCTCATGCTCGGATTCAAGCAGCTGCTTCAACCCCTACAAATGCCACAGCAGCCTCAGGTGAGAACACATAAGTCTTCTGTAAAAAATGTATATATTTTTTTAAATAGAACTGATTACCTCCATTTCATTTCTTCTGATACATGTGAACATTTCATACCTTCCAAGTGTCAGTAACAGCACAGCCATATGAATGAATAAGTGTGAATAAAATGATGCTTTATTTTCAAAAAGCACTAAAAGACCCCACAAATACTTTTTATATAAGGTGTAAATATGTTATTATAATTTAAATTTTTTGTTATTTTAAAAGTCATGCTTTCCATATAGTTTGATTAATATGAGATCTGTCCAGAAATAGCCCAGCCTTTGTTTTTATAACAAGAACAGTTTGTGCAACATTGATGGAGCCAGGCAGCCACGGAGAGTAGACTGGAATGCACATGCATGGACAATGACAACTTCACTGTACTAGTCAGTGAGGATGGTAGATGTCATTGAATGAACAGGTGTACTCTGTGGCTGTCTCATTCAAAACGACTGAGCCAGAAGAGCAACAAACCTGCATCAAATTTAGCATTAAGCTTGAGCATTCCTCCATAGAAACTATTCAGATGACTTAGAAGGCCTCAGCTGTGGGCATGGTGATTGACAGCTTCATCACAACACGCCCGCTCATGCATCATGTCTTGTGAAGAGTTTTTTGGCGAAACATCAGATCACCCAGGTGACTCAGGCCCCGTACAGCCCAGATTTGGCACCCTGTGGCTTTTGGCTTTTCCAAAAACTAAAGTCAATTTTAAGAGGGAAGAGATTTCAGACAGACGATGACATTCAGGGAAAATATAGTGGAGCAGCTGATGGCAGTTGGGAGAACTGTGAGAGTTCCCAAGGTGCCTCCTTTGAAGGGAACTGAGGCATCATTGTCTCATATACAATGTTTCTTGTATCTTCTTCAGTAAATGTCTCTAATTTTTTTAATATTACTTGGCTGGATAGTTTTTGGACAGACTTCATATATATCAAATGAGATGTTGATAACATAAAGCAGTCTGTACAATGTTATGAAGATAATTGACTTTGATTTCAATACCCTAAATGTAAATTGTTAGTATACTGAGAGGCAAATTTTTAGGGAGTGCAAAATATAGTTTGGTGAGTTCAGTTATTCAACAAGGTTAAACTGCATGCAGATACCTTTAACTAAGATTTAGAGCAGAATGTGACTAGATCTTGTCTATTTAAAAAAAAACAAAACCCTCATGGTATCCCAGGATACAGCTAATAAATACTGTTGGTCCCACAGTCGGTCAGTGGTAGGACCTGATTTAGTCCAAATCACTGTTGTTACAGATATTCTGAAACTATCCAACCCTTGAATGAATTGAAGGTCCTCCAAAGAATGGATGGATGCTGTTTAAAATGAAGTTAGAAATATACTAGGTAGCACGGGCAGACTCAGAATTTGGTGTTCCCGTTCTTAAAAAAGCAGATATCAGGAACTGACTTTATTTTTATTAAATCATCTAGTACATTAAATTAAATAGGATCAGACTCATTTTTGCCTAAGGGCATTTATGTTGTATGAGGTAAAAATCTTTAATTATTAGTTCCCTGCATTTGACAGTAAGGTCAAAGTCCATCTGTTGCCTGACACGGAGTTGTTTGTTTCTGTCCAATCTTAATCTTTCGGAATGTTGGTAGTGAAGATTAAAAACATTGCATGATAGTCCAGAAGAAACCTGGAAAGAAAGATCTCTTCTCTACTTCTAGGTCTATTACCATACACTACCTTGAGAAAGTCATTTGAACTTCATTAGTTTTAGTATTGTCTTACTAGTTTTCTCATTTCTGTAAAATGAATGTCAGTGCTCTTCTAGAGTAATTTTGTAAACACCAAAATGTACCAAAATGTACTTTAAATTTTTTTAATGTAAAATATAGGGTTTTTAAAATATATATGTGACCTATTTATTTAGAAGGAAGACAGATTGCTTAGATGAACTGTTAATAAATTTACTAAATCACAAGTTAGATTACATTGATTGTTCAAAACTTGAAATAAACCCTAACCCTGAGCTAGGTGCATTTGCTTGTTGAGCTAGTTTCCAGAGTTTTATTAGAATCACTTTAGATTATGAATAAAAATAAGAATTGTGACCTGTTAAGTTTTGGGTAATTTTAAATGATTTCCTTAATGTAAGATACTAAACTAGTTAAACTAAAGTTTTTAGGCAATTTGCCTAGTAGGAGCCTAGTGTAAACTTATTTTTATGTTGCTTTGATTCAGGTTATAGTAGTTACCAAAAAAAATACTTCAGTGCTGGGGGAGGATGTGTGTGTGTGTGTACACACACATACATACATATACTCTATCTATGTATTCTTATAGCTATTGAAATCAGATTTCCACATGGAAACTGGCATTGGACTGTGATGGTGAGAGTTTACTTCGAAGTTGGAGTAAGTCAGGGTATGGAGAAATTAATAGAAAAATAGTAGGCTTTAGAGCAGATGCCTTGAATATCTGAATAGGTACCAAGGAGGATTTCTGATACTGCTCTGAACTTTCTAGTGGCCAAAGTAAATAAATGTTATCTGTTAAAATTTCCCATTGTTTATTAGATTAAAAGTACTCTGGTGATTTAGGAAAAGCAGCAGTGTTTCTGGCCCAGCTGTTTGAAAAGTATTGCTCCCTGAAACCCCTGGATTTGGTATTCTAATACATACATACATACATACATACATAGTTAATGAAGTCCTCATCATCATTTCAACAATAAATGTAATAGTGAGTTTCATATGGATACTTTCTAAGTGTCCCTCAACATAAGCCAAGAGCATAACACCACAGTATAGTTAAAGGAAAAATTTTCTTTGGGCCAAAGTAATGAGAACAAAGTATGTCATCAAACATACCTCAGGACATGCTAATCTAGATCAGTGAATTGACTGTATGACCTTAATGACTGCCTGTATTTAAATAAATATATGTGTGTGTGATTATTAAATAAGAATTTGGTGGTGTGAATTATATTCTTTAATAAGACCTTAAAATACACATTCTCTCTGTTGTTTCCCTTAGCTTCAGTTCCTTTAGCCATGAAACAGGAATAGTAACTACTCACTGCATAGTTAAGAGAAGTAAGATACAAAATGTGCAGACACAGTGCTTAGTGTTTTGTTCAAGGATCGGGTAGTGAATACAGGTGAATTAAGACCATTGGAAAGCATTGCTGTGTATATAGCAAGAACTATTAAAGTTCATGCTTTTTAAGTCACTGATCCCACTTTAGCATCTTTACCATCAGGATACATCTAAGAAAAGGGAAAAAACTACCATGTCCTTTTTTTTCTGTTTTTTGCCAGAGATAGGAATAATTATATAATAACAAAAAGGAGAGCCAGTCTGATTTGAATGGTCAACAGTAGGGAATTGTTTTAATACATTATGAATCTTCATTTTTATATAACCATAAAATTATTAAAAAGTTTATAGACATTTGTGGAAATATTCATCTTATGTGGAGAAAATCTTTAAAAACCTTGTGTACCATGTTGACAACTCTCAAAATGCAGGTTTGCAATTGGATAGGGACTAGCTAGAAATACACAAAAATTAAAACACTGATGTTAAATAAGTGGGTGTGGATGTTGTTTTTTTCCCTCTCAAAAACATTTGCATTCTCCCCCCTCCCCCCATTGGCTGCTTCTTTGTGCCCTGACCTGGGATTGACCACGCAACCCTGGCATATGGGGATGACAGGATGACACTCTGATCGACTGAGCTACCTGGCTAAGACTCATCTTTCTAATATTTTCTTGACAATTTAATTCTGCAAACAGTTATAAGGGGCTGTAAATGGCACTGAATGCTAGAGGGGATTTAGTGATGAATGAGGGGTTCCTGCCATGGCACAGTTTATATCTGGTTGGACAAATGACTGTGCGAGGATGGCAGTAACCAGGTACTTTAAGTCAGGCAGAGGCAATGGGCTATGAAAGGGTGGAGGACGGAGTGTTTAGCAGTCCTTTTGACCAAGGGAATGAAAGGTGATCGCTTATATTTTGAAAAGTTTTCTTAAAAGAATAAAGGAACCAATATTTCATTTTAATATGTGAGAGTTGTTTGCATTTGAGTCTGACCTCATTACCTTATATCTCTGTGACATGATGAAGCTACCTAATCTTTTCTTTTTTAATTTTTTTTATTGTTCAAATACATTTGTCCCCATTTTCCCGCCACCACTTTCCCCTGCCCCACCCTCCCCCACCTCCCTCCCTCAGTCCTTCCCCACTTTCACTTTGTCCATTGGTCCTTTATACCTGTTCCTTGGTTTGACCCTTCCCCTTTCTTTCCCCATTACCCACCTCCCTCTTTCCCTCATACCACTGTCGATTTCTTTTTTTCTTGCAATATAGCTGGTTATATTTTCCTTGTTTGTTTGTTTTGCTGATTAGGTTCCACTTATAGGTGAGATCATATGGTATTTGTCTTTCACCACCTGGCTTATTTCACTTAGCATAATGCTCTCCAGTTCCATCCATGCTCTCACAAAGGGTAGTAGCTCTTTCTTTCTGCTGTGTAGTATTCCATTGTGTAAATGTACCATAGTTTTTTGATCCACTCATTTACTGATGGGCACTTAGGTTACCTCCAACACTTGGCTATTGTCAATTATGCTGCTATGAACAGTGTGGTGCATAGGTTCTTTTGAATTGGTGTTTTGAGATTCTTAGGGTATAATCCTAGCAGTGGAATCGGTGCATCAAAAGACAGTTCCATTTTTAGCTTTTCGAGGAAATTCCAAACTGTTTCCCACAGTGGCTGCACCAGTCTGCATTCCCACCAACAGTGTACTAGGGTTCCCTTTTCTCCACAACCCGGCCAGCACCCGGTGGTTTTGTTTATGATGGCCACTCTGACCGGTGTGAAGTGGTATCTCATTTTGGTTTTAATTTGCATCTCTCTGATGGCTAGTGATGATGGGCATCCTTTCATATGTCTCTGGGCCCTGTGTATGTCCTCCTCGGAGAAGCGTCTGTTCAGGTCCTTTGCC